TGTTATTGATATATCTTATCTTTTTCACTATAGTGTTTGTATATAATTTCACTTTCCATTTTATCATTTAAATATAAGGTAATATACTATTAGATAATTATCATATTAATTTTTGTTTCTAAGAAAACATACATTATATAGATTTCTTTATGAAATAGCACATATTTAGTTATTACTAACTTTCATAATAAATAAATGTTGTGAGTTCTTCTCAAAACAAAAAAAAAATTGTCAGCACAAAGTAATAATTACTATAAAAATAAACAACAGATTTATATTTTATACAGTAATAAATCTCAAACAAATTTGGATGTTTTTTTCATTTTGCAGACAAGAAGCTTAGGTGTTAATTCAGTCTTACAAAACGGGTTGGTTTCATTTAGGCTTTTAAAATTCATGTAGCTTAAAATATTAAAAGTTGTAGTGTAATAGAAATTTATAGACAGATTTCATTTGTTTTTTTTAAATGGCCAGGTGAATAGAACTGGACTTGGACATGAATAATAAATAATGTAATACTACCAGTACTCTTATAACATTAGTTTCAAAAAATTTAAAAACTCTTATAACATCGGATCCGAAGTTTTACGAATGCATAAATCTAAATCAACGTTTATATATTAAAAGTGAGCAAAGAAAATAAATGTTTGTATAGTACATTTTAGTTTAAGCTTTTTTTATTTAAAGATAAATATGTATTTATACCATAGCGTTAATAATTAGAGTTAAAAATTAAGTTTTTAAGATAAGATTTTAAATTTTAGAAAATAAAAAATAAATATAAATAAAAAATTAAATGTTTGTGATGGAGGAGTTAATGAGGAGACAGAAACTAGGAGCGGCTACTGCGCCACGCTTAGGCCGTTTTGTCTCGTCTCATTTTTAGACATTAGATAGCTACTTATCACCCCCACCCAATTCTCTTCTATCTACTTATTTATTGCTTTCATTAGTCGTTTACCCATTAAAAATTAAAACAATTATTTTTTATTTTAATCGTCTGTTAACAACATATAACATGTTTAGTATCTGATTTAAACTCTGCTTTAAACACCTTTTTAACTGATGAACTTAGTGTGAGAGCACAAATGAGTAATAGTAATGACTATTCAACACTACTATAGTCGTTTTTTTTTGGGTCTAAATGTTAAAACTACTATAGTCGTTTATAGTATATATGTTCATTTGGTTGTTCATGCTATTATTATGTTTAGATCTCAACAACATGATCCACTACCCCGGACCACATTGTTTATTTAGCCAAGCATATATGATCAAAGCAACTAAAGTTCGAACAGAAGAAGAAAAGATAACCAAATGCATTGAAAGAATAAAATGATTTACGCAACTCAAGATCTACTTTTAGATTTGAAACAATGATGAACATAACTTCGTCGATTAATACATGATAACAAATCATGACAGCCACAGAAAATGATATATGTTAATCAGTGCCACTAAACTATTTAATTTGCCTATGCCATTGTATGGTTGTTGATATATATGCACCTGTACTTCTTATTAAATACTTAAACTAAACTATATGAAATACTTAATCCAACTTTATAGTTGGGGAATGTGATTACTACCACATGTCACAAGAGCTTTTTAGACTTAATATTCAATACTCGCATATTAATTTATCGAATATATGTCTGATAGAAAGCCGGAGGTACACACATGTTTAATGAAAAGGTCGGTCCACAATTAATTAATTAGAAAGCTTTCTGCCTAATGCGTGTATAATATACTTACTTGACCCCAACTAGTAACAACACAAAGCATATGATATGAAAAAGCACTATGATAAATTATCATTTTCTGAATAATAAATATGGCCTAGTAACATAGGCTGTGGTATTAATATTCTTGATACCTAGTGCATAGACTTCACAGACCATTTTAAAAATGTATCGAGCTTTGAACCTTGAATTACTCTCTACTCGTGAGTATATTCATTGCTATTAACAGAGTCGCTTAAAAACAAAGTGAAGTATGGGTTGTGGAGATGGACAAAGGAGGATTCGTTTTCACTTTTCAGTGTCCTTTGAATTTTGTATTTGAACTTGATTTTGCAATTGGCATTATGTATAGTTCTTGAATGGATCACAACAATATGTTTTATTTTCTTTCTTCTTCAGTAGTGTTTCGTTTGTCGGTTGCTATAAAATAAATAGGATGTGAAAAAAAAAGCATAGTAGAACTAGAAACTAAACACAAAAACAAGATTGACTTGTCACATTCAAATCAACCATTTGGGGATTTCGAAAAATAAAAAAAATCGTTCCTTATAAATGTACTCCCTCAGTTTAAATTATAAATTGTTTCCCTAAAATACAAGTATTTACAAAAACATATTTATGGCTTTAGTTTTAATTAAAGGGAGAAAAAAAACAATGACAAATCATACTTCTAACTTTCTTTTAAACTTTTTATTTAAATATTATTTCTAGCATATTACATTTTGTATTGGACTTCAAAACAACTTACATTGTCAAACAAACAAAAACCTTCGTGGATTTATATATATTAAGAGGTTTGCTTCAGTTTCCTTCTCGACCTTCGACAATTGAGCGATAATGTCGATGTTGAATCCAAGCTTGAAGAGATTCTAGTGATGTCATAGGAGTTATTGGTATCCAAGACAACGAGGTGAAAATGTGATTCACATCAACAGTAGAGAACGACAAATAATATTCTAAAGATTTTGGAGTGGCTTAGTAGAAACTAGGCTTGTAAAATTTGAATTAGTTTGTTTGCTCAATTTAAGCTTATAATCAACATTATAATTCTCGATCTTTAGGTTGATCAATGAAAGTATATATTGAAAAAAAGAGAGTGAAGTATGGATTGTGGAGATAGACAAATGAGGCTTCGTTTTCAATGTCATTTGAGAATGCATTTTGTATTTGAACTTGATTTTTCAATTTGCATTTGGTATAGTTCTTAAATGGATCACAACAATATGTTTTTTTCTTCCTTCTTGAGTGATGTTTCGTTTGTCGGTTGCCATAAAATAAAAGGATGTGGAAACAAAGCATAGTAGAAAGAAACACAAAACAAGGTTGACTAGTCACCTTCAAATCAACCATTTAGTGATTTCGGAAAATAAAAATCATTACTCATAAATGTATATGTTCTTGGACTGATTATAAGATTTTGAATTGTGGATCCATACATTATTTAAGGTGAAATTCAGTTCATGTAATTTTTGGAGAAAACGTTTTTCTTGCCAAAGATATTTGAATTGTAACTTTCAAAACTTTTTACTAACTAAAAATTCATTTATTTTCACGAAAAAAATTATTCTGACACTTTTCATCTGGAGTTGGACTATAGAATGCATGAAAAATTTACGGCAGTTTGCAGTTAATTTATAACAAATTGTTTTCAATTGATGAAAATGGTTTCAGCACCCGAAAAATGGTTATCATTTATAATTTATCTGGAAGACATCAAGAGTTTAAAGATTTGGTTCAACAAATCAGAATTTATTCATATACCACAGACGCATGATTTGAAAACAGACACGCAATGTGCGTAAACAACTGACCTCATTTGTTGTTTGTGTAGATTTAGAATTATCAATTTAGTTTATAGAATCTACATGTGTCTGTTTATGTTCCCGACAAAAAAAAGACACTTTTCACACACATGTATGTATATATAATTGAAATAAAAGTTCTAGAATGGATTAGGCCAAATCATTGTTGGTTAATGGTGACATTTCTTAACCTTTCTCTATCCTTTTTGATTCATTATTTTTCTTTGGTTTACTAACCAGCTAAATTCCCATGCAAACAATTGATTTGGATAACTATAAAGTATACATAAGAACCCTAAAGGCTTTCCAAAAACAAACAAAACAAAAGTTTAATTTGCGCAAGACGCAACAACAACATGAAACCAACTTCCCCAATCCTCAGGACTCCTCTTCATATCATCACCATCAACAAGACAGCCTCTCTATAACAGAAGCGTGATCACAAACGAAACTCTCTCTGTACTCTCTTATCTGTTTTTTTGTTACTACTAACAAACTTGGACCCGAACCTTTTTATACAAGGGCTTCTTCTCGTCTAGGCCCATTAGTTGAAGACCATAGAAGACAAAACCCAACAGCTGTCTCTTACCCAAAATATTTTTTTTTTGGTTTAAGGACACAAAAGCCCACAGCTTCTGCAACTAAACTGAAACTCTGTTTTAGCTAAAAGCCTGAAACGGTAATAACGCAAAATTATTTAATTCTCTAAAGTTCAGAGTTTTAAGATCATTCAAACTAGGCCTGAGCGTTTCGGGATCGGTTCGGTTCGGTTTGGTCAGGTATTTCGGGTTTCGGGTAGGAGATTAGAGAATCCATTTACTACTTGACCTATTTTTGGTTCGGTTCAGTTCGGATAGTTTCTGGTTCGGTTCGGTTCGGATAGTAAAATTAGGAATCTAAAATATCTAGAAAATTCGGTTCGGGTAGTTCGGATAAATTATCAGTTATTTAGGATAAAATATCAAATAATTAGAAGATTTAGATACAAACTTCAGATTTTTGCATTACTTTGGCTATTCGGATAAAATTATCCGTATACTTTCAGATACTTTATAATTATTTAGTTATCTTCAACTATTTTTGGATACTTCTAATAGATTTTAAATTAAAATGATATATTTGGCTATGTTATATATATATATTTAAAATTAATATTATTATATATTTGGGTATTCGTTCGGTTCGGTTATTTCGGATATATAAATAATAATAATCCTTCGGATATTTAAGGGTTTTGGTTAGGTTTCGGTTTCAGATATTTTGGTTCGGTTCCGGTTCGTTTTTTTCGGTTCAGGCCTAATTCAAACTAAATAGAAGACGTACTCTGATTTGATCGTTAACTAGACACAGGGGTACTATTGACATTCCATGTAAGTCTCCTCTTTCCAGTTGATATCGAACTAACGAACATTGTTTTGGTAAGAGAGACGAAGACGTAACTGCAGGAAAGATAAGAATGATGATGATGCATAGATGGAGAAGATCAGGAGATTTCATACGATCTGCATGTAAATCACTAAGTAGCTTCCGACAGAAACATAACTCAATGTCTCCTTCTGTTACAGGTTCGGTCTTTTTTCCGATTTTAATTTTTTTTGTAAAATTCAATTTCACTGGAAAATGAAGAAAAGATTGTGACTTTTGGATTGGGTTTTAGGTTTTATGAATCGTTACGAGTCAAAAGTTAATACCTTTGAGCCAAATGCTTGGAGTCATCAGTATAGATCATTTGGGTCATCATCATCATCATCAGCTTTGAAAGTCAAGAGAAACCCATTGTTTTCTTCTTTGGAATCTAAAGATGTTAGCTTCTTCAAGGAGATATTAGGGGAGAGAAATGTTGTTGAAGATGAAGAGAGGCTTGAGATTGCTAATACAGATTGGATGAAAAAGTATAAAGGATGTAGTAAGCTGATGCTCTTACCCAAGAACACAGAAGAGGTCTTTTTAAAAAAAAAAAAAAAAATTCTAATGAATTTGTTTTGTATTGTAAACTGTGATGGAAATTTGTGTTTGAACATAGATTTATTTTTTTGTTGCAGGTGTCTCAGATACTAAAGTATTGTGATTCAAGGAGTTTAGCTGTTGTTCCTCAAGGAGGGAACACTGGTCTTGTTGGTGGAAGTGTACCTGTCTTTGATGAGGTTCTACACTTATCAAAAAATGTTGGATAAGTTGATTGTAGTTAGCAAAGAAAAGTTTCATGAATGTACAACATAAGTGAAAATTAGGAACCAAAAAAAATGCTTTAAGATCATAAACATGACGCGTTTTTTTCCGCATATTTTCAGGTGATCATCAATGTTGGTTTGATGAATAAAGTCTTGTCCTTTGATGAGGTAATTAGATGAGAATGGGTGTGAGCTGTTTGATGGAGATTACAACCTTTTATTTTAGTGTCAATTGCTTATAGTGCAGCAGATTCTTTGATACGAATATATTACTTAAAAAGTAATGTTAGTTACTACATACTTGGTGATGATGTGATGCTTTATATTTCAGGTTAGTGGCGTCTTGGTGTGTGAAGCAGGATGCATTTTGGAAAATTTGGCAACTTTCCTTGACACAAAAGGGTAATAGAAAAGAGTTTTTTGTATTACTTATATTGTTTGGTTATTTGTCAGTTGTAGCAACATAGATTAATGTTTCCTCAGTTTTGTTATGCCACTGGACTTAGGTGCAAAAGGAAGCTGTCATATAGGTGGGAATGTTTCAACTAATGCTGGTGGTTTGCGCCTTATCCGTTACGGCTCGCTTCATGGAACCGTATTGGGTAAATAAATCATAGTTCTAATCTGATATACTTTCATTTCATTTTCCTTATATTTTATTTATTTATTTTCTTACCATCTCAGGTCTGGAAGCTGTCAAAGCAAACGGCAATGTGCTTGACATGCTTGGAACTTTACGCAAAGATAACACTGGTTACGACTTAAAACATTTGTTTATCGGTATGTCTCATCATGACCTTGTGCTTGTACAGTCACTTCATTAACAAAAGAGACTTAAATCATTTTGATTCTTTTTCTTCTCCTTACACAGGTAGTGAAGGATCACTTGGTATTGTGACTAAAGTTTCTATACTCACACAACCAAAGCTGTCTTCTGTAAACTTAGCCTTCATCGCTTGCAAAGATTTTCTCAGCTGCCAGGTTTAACTCTTCTCTTGTAATCTGATTCTCTTTACAGGAGGAGATGACGTGTGATGAACTATTGTCTCTCGTTATGTTTTTTTCCCTTTTTCAGAAACTTCTTGTTGAAGCAAAGAGAAATCTTTGAGAGATACTGTCTGCTTTCGAGTTTCTTGATAACAACTCCATGGATTTGGTAAAAGCTTTTATTAACTGTTTGCATTAGTCTATAAACTTTGCTAAACATTTCTTGTGATATTCATTTGGCAGGTACTGAACCACTTAGACGGTGTCCGTAATCCAGTTTCCTCTTCAGAGAACTTTTATATTTTGATAGAGACAACAGGAAGTGGTGAAACTTATGACAGGTGAAATGGTTTCTAAGTATTTAAATCACTTTAGAGAGTTTAGTCTAAGTCTGATTCAAAAAAACTAATGCAGGGAGAAGCTTGAAGCGTTCCTTTTAAAGTCACTGGAACAAGGTCTAGTCTCTGATGGTGTCATCGCTCAAGACATAAACCAAGCATCTTCATTTTGGCGCATACGAGAGGTAACACACTTAGTATTATTTCACCTCAGAGAAACCTTTGATGTTGATGTCATATATTTATACTTTACAGGGTATAACTGAAGCGTTACAAAAAGCAGGAGCATGTTACAAGTATGACTTATCTTTACCTGTTGAAGAGATTTACAATATTGTCAATGATCTTCGTGGGAGATTAGGTAAGTATATATATCACTGCACTGTTTCCTAAAACTTTAAAACTGAAGATTGCAATCAAACCATGCCATATGCTTCAGGTAACTTAGCAAATGTTATGGGATATGGTCACCTTGGAGATGGGAATCTTCATTTAAACATCTCAGCCGCTGAATATAACGATAAGGTAAGGTCAAACATTGATGTGAAACACTTCAACATGCTTAAAGTAATTAATGTCTTTGACTCTTTTCTTTGCAGCTTTTAGGTTTAATAGAACCGTATGTTTATGAATGGACATCAAAGCACCGTGGAAGCATCAGTGCAGAACATGGATTAGGTGTAATGAAAGCTAATGAAATCTTATACAGCAAATCACCAGAAACTGTGAGCTAATAATATAACAAAACTACATATCTATGGAGAGCTTTGATTCTATTCTTTACTTGGGATATAATATTTGCAGGTTGCATTAATGGTATCTATCAAAAAGTTGCTGGACCCTAAGGGGATTCTCAATCCATACAAAGTTCTTCCTCACTCTTTCTTCTCTCCCTAAGGTAATGCTTTTATAATTAGGCACCGAAATTATTGAAAGAATCTATCAATCTATGATCAATGCTCTTCCAACGTCTAAAGTGAGGAGTGAGGAGGAATCATCACCTTTAGTTTGGGGAATCATTGACATTCTTTTTTAAACGAATGCAAGGTGGGGATGATGAGATGATTCTTCAAAAACAAGACACTGGGAGAATATGATGAGGAGCCCAAGTTTGAGCAGTATGATTGAAGCAAGTGTTGATTAAAAAGTCCTTTAAACTCACTAAAGTGTATATGCTTCTTTGTTGTTGTCACTGTGTCTTAATATCTTGTTATCATGGATAAGAAAGAATAAAAAAAACCTATTGAGCTTACGTGTATTACAAGTTGGCAGTGTATTCAGACCAGAACTCTGAAAGAGAAGAATCTACCATCATAATAATATCTTTCTACTTTTGGCAATTTGTTTTTTTTTTGTTCATGTGTTAACCTTCCTTGGTCTTAGAGAAACAAGATTGGTCCAAAGACCTTACTGAACCAGCTATTATAGGTCTCTCTAGTTTAGGAAATAAAGGTTTTTCCGAAAGTAGATTTTGGAATGTTAAATGATTATATTCGAAACTGATCGTGATCGTGAGAGTAGCAAAAGGGTGTAAAGATTCGGTTCTCCAGCACCAGTGGAAAGACATGATAACAATGACTTGGGGGTTGATGACTGGACTGTACATAGATGCAATGCTTTTAACACACAAGTTGAAGATGATAAGACACTATAAAAATGCTCATGGATATGGCTAAGGAGACCAGAACACAATCTTCTTTCTCTCACTTACACTCACTGTAATAACTTTAAGCATAAATGACAACTTCATCTGAATCAACTCGCAAGGTTGGTTGATTGCTTCTTTAACTGTATAAAACAACAGGCCTTTTGTTATATCTTCTTTGCCTTGATCATCTCTCGTTTTTTTGGTTAGGGTCTGACCAAGATCGCCACCAATAGACTTCAGAAAGAGTTCATGGAGTGGCAGACTAACCCTCCTTCTGGTTTTAAACACAGAGTCTCTGATAATCTCCAACGGTATGTAGCTAACTAGATACAGTATATACCCATTTATAGTCCTTAACATCGAAAAATCGATGAAGTAATGTTGAAAATTTTGGTGTGAAAAGATGGAGCATTGAAGTGAAGGGAGCTCCAGGAACTCTTTATGCAAATGAAACTTACTATCTTCAAGTGGAATTTCCTGAGCATTATCCTATGGAAGCTCCACAGGTTATCTTTCAGCATCCAGCTCCACTCCATCCTCATGTTTACAGCAACGGTCACATTTGCTTGGGTAAGAAACAATCACAATGACTTCACTCCTGTTTTGGCCCTATCTTTCAGAATCTGATAAGAAGAGTTTTTGTGTATTTTTTGTTGATGCAGATGTTTTGTATGGTTCTTGGTCACCTGCAATGAGACTAAGTTCAATCTGTCTTAGCATTCTCTCAATGCTATCAAGCTCATCTGTTAAGGTTTGTTGTGTGTTTGTGCGTTCTCTTCTTTCAAAAAGGCTTTCATCTTATGATGGTTCTTCTCTTCTCTTATGCTCATCCTTGCAGCAAAAGCCGAAAGACAATGACCACTATTTAAAAAACTGCAAAAACGGAAGATCTCCTAAAGAAACGAGGTGGCGCTACCATGACGATAAAGCATAACATCTCCATGTGTCTTTTAATATTGTAATTAAAAACCAAATGTATGATCTCAGGTCTGAGTTCTTGACTTGTTTATATCTTCAAAACAAAAACAGTTTCTCTATGTGGTTTAATCACACACTAAAAGCTTGTGCACAGAACTATAAAGTTAAGAAATAGCATTGGTTTATTATTAAGTGAAAAAGAAATGGACTGAAACTTCTGTTGAGAAGAGATCATCAACAACTGTGGGTAGTACAAACCAGGAACTGAGAGAACGATAGATCCAAAAGAAGAGAGACCTTTGCTCCTAAAAAGCCTTCGTGTATTAATCTGGTGAAGGCAAAAAATTATCCACTTTCCATGACATCTTAAATTTGTAACAAACACTTGAAGGACTACTCAGCAGAAGCTTTGTCTGTTCCTTGGTCCATTTTAACAACACCTGCAGCCAAAGTCTCAAGCTTTAGCATGTTAACTAAAGACTAAATTGGTATAACGGAATAACACGTACGCTAAAATATCTAATACCACTCGTCGTCTTTAGACAAATCTAGTCACATTTTAAGTACACAGACAAATAGACCATAAAAGCTTGATAATCTCGCTTCCTCAATATTTACTTCAATCCAACAACATCTATGATCTGTGTACGCTTTGACAAGTGCACTTAGATAGGCAAATACAAAGCATTATTGAGCCTTCAAAAGCCCCTCATGAAACTCAATATCAATCCAAGAAATAACGCTCCATAGGAGAAAAAAGAAGAAGCTAATAACTCTATGCAAATCTAGAATCAACATACTGTTCCTTCTATGATCTAATACCAGTTGTCGTCTCTAGACAAATCCAGTAACATGTTAAAAGCTATTATAATCTAGTTCCTCAGATTTACTTTAATCCAACAATGTCTATGGTCTAAGTACGCTTTGACAAGTGCAAACAGAGAACAGAGAGGCAAATACAAAGCATAATGCTAGACGCGCAGAAGAAACTTCAAAAGCAAACACCTTTGTGCAAACCCATAATCAAACATACTCTTCCTTATCAATTCCAAGACTTAATAGCTACTAAAACGCAACAAAAATCAATACACAACACTCCTCCCAACCAGAGCCAACGTTCCATAGAAGAAAAAGGCAAACAACTTTACGCAACCCCATAATCAAACACAATGCTCCTTATCAATTCCAAGACTTAACAGCTACTATAATACAAAAAAATACATACATAACACTGTTCACAATCAGAGCTAACGTTTCATAGAAGAAAAATCAAAACTTCTTTTTTTGTTATTATCAATTTCAAAACTTCTTTTTTTTTTAATGCAAAGTTGCAAACCCAGAGTCAGCATACTGTTCATTATCAATTCCAAGACTTAACACCTACTACAACTCAACAAGCTCCATACACAACACTAATCACAATCAGAGCCAACGTTCCATAGAAGAAAAACCAAACATCTTTACGCAAACCCAAAATCAACATGCTGTTCCCTATCAATTCCAAGGCTTAAGGCTGCCACAAGCTCACAATCTATGTAATTCATAGCTACCACAATGCAAATAAAAAAAAGCAAACAACTTTATGTAAACCCATCAACTCCAAGAATTCATAGCTACTACAATGCAACAAGATCCATACACAACACTACTCACAACCAGACCTAACGTTCCATAGAAGAAAAAAGCAAACAACTTTGCGCAAACCCATAATCAAACATACTCCTCCATATCAATTCCAAGACTTAACAGCTACTACAATGCAACAAGATCAATACAAAACACTGCTCACAATCAGAAAGTAAACACCTTTGTGCAAACCCGGAATCAAACATACTCTTCCTTATCAATTCCAAGACTTAAAAGCTACTACAATCCAACAAGATCAATACACAACACAGCTCAAAATCAGAAAGCAAACAACTTAACGCAAACCCTGAATCAAACATACTCTTCCACATTAATTCCAAGACTTAATAGCTACTACAATACAACAAGATCAATACAAAACACTACTCAGAATCAGAAAGCAAACAACTTTACGTAAACCCAGAACCAAACACACACTTCCATGCCAACTCCACCACTTAATAGCTACTACAATGCAACAAGATCAATACACAACACTACTCACAAGTAGACCCAACATCCCATCGTAAAAAAAAAAAAAACAAACAGCTTTAAGCAAACCCAGAATCAAACATACTCTTCCTTACAAATTTCAAGCCTTAAAAGCTGCTACAACTCAAGAAAACCAATACACAACACTGTTCACAATCAGACCTAACGTTCCATAGTAAAAGAAAAAAAAAAAGCAAACAACTTTATGCAAACCCAGAATCAAACACACTCTTCATCATCAATTCCAAGACTTACAGCTACTACAATGCAACAAAATCAATACACAACACTGCTCACACGTAGACTTAACGTTCAATAGAAGAAAAAAAAGCAAACAACTTTACGCAAACCTAGAATCAAACATATTCTTCCATTTGAATCCCAAACACTTAACAGCTACTACAATCCAACAAAATCAACACACATCACCGCTCACAATCAGAAAGCAAACAACTTTACGCAAATCCAGAATCAAACAAACATACTCTTCCATATCAATTCCAACACTTAACAGCTACTACAATGCAACAAAATCAACACACAACACAGCTCACAATCAAAAAGCGCAAACGCAGAATCAAACAAACACACTCTTCCATTTCAATTCCAACAACTCAACAAAAATCTCATACCATTGGCCACACTGCTCAAAAACAGAGCTAACGTTTAATAGAAGAAAAGCAAACGACTTTATGCAAACCCATCAATTCCAAGACTCAATAGCTACTCCAACTTAACAAGCTCCATACACAACACTGCTCACACTCAGAGCCAACATTCCATAGTAAACAAAAAAAGCAAACAACTTTATCCAAACCCAAAACCAAACACACTCTTCCTCATCAATCCCAAAGACTAAAAAAAAACCACTGCTCACAAGAGTAATAATACCTAAAATCATCATCACTCCAAATCAACTTTAGCTCCGACAGCCTTCAACTTCTCAACAATCTTCTCCGCCTCCTCCTTACTAACCCCCTTCTTCAGCAAAGTCGGCGCCTTCTCCACCAAGTCCTTAGCTTCCTTCAACCCCAAATCCGTCACCGACCTCACCTCCTTTATCACCTTAATCTTCGACGCCGCCTCAAACCCTTTCAGCATCACATCGAACGCCGTCTTCGCCTCCGCCTTCTTCTTCTCCCCCTCCCCTTTCCCAGCTCCAGCAGCTGCTGCTCCAGCTCCGGATCCAGGGAGCGACATCGAGGCCAGTATGGGGGTTTCGGAGACGCCGAGCTTCTTCTTGAGGAGCTCCGTGAGGTCCATTGTTTCGAGGAGTGTGAGGTTTGAGAGCTCTGTGACGATTCTCGAGACGTTTTCGGGTTGCGTTGATGAGAAGTGACGATGGGGTTGGATCGGGTTTGATTGGATGGATCGAAGAGATCGTGAGAGGTGAGAGGAGATGATTCGTAGGTTCCTCATGGTTCCTTTCCTTTCTTCTTCTCTCTCTCTCTCTAACGAAAGAAAGATGGAGAGTTCATGTCAAAGTGAGGAAGAGAGCATAAACCCTAACGAACTGGAAAGTTATACCAATGGGCCGTTATGGGCCTCTTATTGATATTTTCTAAATTTATAGAGTTTAGGCCCAAAACAGCAGTTTAACATTA